TCGTCTGTGTCTAGTTTCGTGTCGTCACGATTACGAAGTATGAGATGTTCACAGAATTTGACAAAGTTAATTTAATTAAGTAATACCAAAACGAACAACACTGACATCAGCACCCTCACACGAACAACACTGACATCAACAATCTCACACGAACAACACTGATATCAGCACCCTCACACGAACAACACTGACATCAACAATCTCACACGAACAACACTGACATCAACAATCTCACACGAACAACACAGACATCAGCACCCTCACACGAACAACACTGACATCAACAATCTCACACGAACAACACTGACATCAACAATCTCACACGAACAACACTGACATCAACAACCTCACACGAACAACACTGACATCAGTAATCTCACACGAACAACACTGATAATCAACAATCTCACACGAACAACACTGACATCAACAATCTCAAACGAACAACACTGACATCAACAACCTCACACGAACAACACTGACATCAACAACCTACACGAACAACACTGACATCAATAATCTCACACGAACAACACTGATATCAACAATCTCACACGAACAACACTGACATCAACAATCTCAAACGAACACACTGATATCAACAATCTCACACGAACAACACTGACATCAACAATCTCAAACGAACAACACTGACATCAACAACCTCACACGAACAACATTAACATCAGGAAATACTTGTCCAGTAACAAGGTGATAAGAAATTGTAATGACGCACTTGGACGAGGCAGCGGTGGAAGAAAATCTCGTAACAGTTTCCAGAGTACGTAACGAGGGTCAGCAAGCCTGGTGCAAGATTGCAGGTAGACTGTGGGAAGCAGGGGCCAGGAGCTGTGGCTCGACCCCATCCAACACAGGTCGATGACCACATACATACCCATACATACCCTCAACGTACCGTTATAGGTAAAGGAACATCACACACGTATATACCTTCACGTACTATGGTATATACTAAATCAACCTCACACACACACACGTACATAGCCTCACGTACTGTGGTAGATCAATCAACCTCACACACGTACATAGCCTCACGAACTGTGGTAGATAAGTCAACCTCACACACACGTACATAGCCTCACGTACTGTGGTAGATCAATCAACTTCACACACGTACACAGCCTCATGTACTGTGGTAGATCAATCAACTTCACACACGTACACAGCCTCACGTACCGTGGTAGATCAATCAGCCTCACACACACGTACACAGCCTCAAGTACTGTGGTAGATCAATCAACCTCATACACGTACACAGCCTCACGTACTGTGGTAGATCAATCAACCTCATACACGTACACAGCCTCACGTACTGTGGTAGATCAATCAACCTCATACACGTACACAGCCTCACGTACTGTGGTAGATCAATCAACCTCATACACGTACACAGCCTCACGTACTGTGGTAGATCAATCAACTTAACACACACGTACACAGCCTCACGTACCGTGGTAGATCAATCAGCCTCACACACACGTACACAGCCTCACGTACTGTGGTAGATCAATCAACCTCATTCACGTACACAGCCTCACGTACTGTGGTAGATCAATCAACCTCACACACACGTACACAGCCTCACGTACTGTGGTAGATCAATCAACCTCATACACGTACACAGCCTCACGTACTGTGGTAGATCAATCAACTTCACACACACGTACACAGCCTCACGTACTGTGGTAGATCAATCAACCTCATACACGCACACAGCCTCACGTACTGTGGTAGATCAATCAACCTCATACACGTACACAGCCTCACGTACTGTGGTAGATCAATCAACTTCACACACACGTACACAGCCTCACGTACTGTGGTAGATCAACCTCACACACGTACACAGCCTCACGTACTGTGGTAAATCAATCAACCTCACACACGTACACAGCCTCACGTACCGTGGTAGATCAATCAACTTCACACGCATACACAGCCTCACGTACCGTGGTAGATCAATCAGCCTCACACACGTACACAGCCTCACGTACCGTGGTAGATCAATCAACCTCACACACACGTACACAGCCTCACGTACCGTGGTAGATCAATCAGCCTCACATACACGTACACAGCCTCACGTACTGTGGTAGATCAATCAACCTCATACACGTACACAGCCTCACGTACTGTGGTAGATCAATCAACCTCATACACGTACACAGCCTCATTTACTGTGGTAGATCAATCAACCTCATACACGTTCACAGCCTCACGTACTGTGGTAGATCAATCAACCTCATACACGTACACAGCCTCACGTACTGTGGTAGATCAATCAATCTCATACACGTACACAGCCTCACGTACTGTGGTAGATCAATCAACTTCACACAAAACGTACACAGCCTCACGTACCGTGGTAGATCAATCAGCCTCACACACAAAGTACACAGCCCCACGTTTCTGTGGTAGAATCAATCAACCTCATACACGTACACAGCCTCACGTACTGTGGTAGATCAATCAACCTCACACACACGTAAACAAGCCTCACGTACTGTGGTAGATCAATCAACCTCACACACGTACACAGCCTCACGTACCGTGGTAGATCATCAACTTCACACACACGTACACAGCCTCACGTACCGTGGTAGATCAATCAACTTCACACCACGTACACAGCTCACGTACTGTGGTAGATCAATCAACCTCACAACGTACACAGCCTCACGTACCGTGGTAGATCAATCAACCTCACACACGTACACACACGAAGACGCCATACAACCAAACTAGTGTAGACCCTAATACCCACGGTAGTTTGGATCGCAATTACGTACCATCTCCGTGGTCAGCTACGCAACATTTCCAAATAATGACGTATTGCTCGTTTTACCCGGAAAACTTGCTGTTCTCTTACAGATTAACACCAAAAATACCACTCATTCTGTCCGACTGACTCAACCCTCGCCAACACATCACAGGTTATCACACTTCCCCCCCCCCCCTTTTTTTTTCCGACAGTCCAATAGATCACACATTTAGCCTATTTAAACTAAACATTCGTATCTGTGAATTCCCAAGTTGCAAGCGGAAGAGAAAAAATTAGATATTTTATTCAGACGAAGGGCCAGTGCCAATGCGAGATTGGGACACTTCCAGGATGCCTTATCGCCTTTGTTGAAAGCTAGCAGAGTTTTTGACTTTCCTTGCAGTATCAGATAACTGCTATAAAATAAGTAGGTTAGACGGCTTGGTGGTCACATCTTGGTGAGCGGTGAGGGGGGGAGGTTGGCTCCCAAAGTCTCCGGGAAAGACAACGGCATTTTAAAAACACGGGAAAACCTGACCGTTTAAAACATCTTTCATTTTTAAACCCTTGTCTGAGAGATGCGGCCTCCCTATTGACGGGGAGTATTTTTTTAAAGGTTAAAAATATTTATTTTTTTTTTTAAAAAAATATCTTTCCCCCAAAATTTTTTAAATTTGGGAAAGCTATATTTTTAAAGCTCCTCTCCCATTAAAAAGCTTTTTTTTTTTTTTTTGCAAAGGGGAATTTGGGAAAAGTACTTTTAAAAAAATAAATAGGATGTTCGAAAAAAACCCCACATGGGGGACAAGAAACTCCAAAAATTTAAACCCTGACCCTGAAAATTTTTTCGATCCCCTGCTGGGATCCTCTTCAACAGGAAGTCAAAATTTTCCCGGGAACCAATTATGTAGAAAAAAAGGGGGAGAGAACCATGAGGGGGACTGTTTCATCAACCCCAAAGGCCGAGGGACTGATTCCCTCAAACATTTTTAATCCCCCATTCTTTTTTTAAATGGGGACTGATGACGTTTATGGGGGGCCCCAACTTTTTCCAAAATTTAAAGATCCCCAAGTTTTGGGGAACATGTGTCAAATTTACCCAACAGCCCCAATTGATTTTTTGTTTTTGGGTCTCCATGGTGGGTTTTTTATGAAAAATTTGGGACAGGTGCCCAAAATTTACCCCTTTTTTTAAAGGTATTCTTTTAAATAGTATATTTTATTAAAAAAAACCTTCTTAGCATCCCGCTTTTAAAATTTCCCGAGTGCACCTTTTTCAATGGCATTAAAAAATCCAACAATTTGAGGAAAAGTTATTTAAAAGGTTTTTCTGTATTACTATTGTCATTTTTTGGGCTGTATCTTGGTTTTGATCGTTAAAAACCACCTTTTGACTTAAATTTAAAAAGTTAAAAGGGTTCCCGGGGTAAACCCCTGGAAAACTTTTTCCAGTACAGTTTTGGGGGACCCCCTGGGTACCACTGGAATCGTACTCACAGTAAAGTTCGGGTTCCCCTGGGTACCCCCTGGAATCGTATCACAGTAGTTTTCCCCAGTCTCTTGGAAGGACTACAACCCCGAGAGGGAAAATTTTCCCCGTCCCCCGGTTCTCTCAGACCAGTCATTCCCCTTGCCATTCTGACCTTAAAACTCTGATAGTCTGACCTAACTTAAAGAAAACTCTTCAGAGAGGACCTAGTAAATACATGAGAGTTATAGCCTAACGAGATTTGCTTTAAAGATATAGGTCCACAAAAAGCCCATTGATAGCGGAAGAGAATGTTACTTACCAATTATTAAGCTACAAATTCAAGTTGCGTCTCTAATGTATGATGTGACTGAGCAGCATCACTGACATTATTATAATTATTGCAATTTGAAAAATAAATTCTGTTAACTGATCTCCCAAATATACCCATACATATTACATATATTAAGTTACTTGCTTAGTTTTTTCCCATATACAGACCTATATACACGGGGAGTAAAGGCGAGTATTACGGTGAGTAAAGTATTCTTGTTAGGCTACAGAGGACTTAGAGCCTTATGATCCACGTGACTACACTATATACTTAACAAACCTTTATTAAATAATTGTGTTGATTCATGGTAATTTTGTTTTCACAGAGGTGCGTATTAGGGACGTGTTGCTGCTTGCTCTCTCTGGTATCACTGCTGGTATCACAATGTTATATACTCAGGGCAACTCTCAACATGTCCTTCTTCTCATCTCCTGCAGCGGTGAGTGTGGTGGCTGTTTGCTCTTCTGTTTAGCTCATGTGTTGCATAGTTAGAAATAGCTATTATGTTTCTCGTGTGCATTACTAAGCATAATTGGGGCCTGTTTGTAGGTGTTGTGTGTGTGTATAATGATCTTGCGCTACCCTCCACTGGATGGATAATAAATTTACAATAAACCAAGCCGCTTCGGCGGCAAAATTCTAACATAATTCTATAAATTCAAGCATAGCAGAACGGAGCTGTTGTTTGCATTCTGTGTTGCATTAAACATAGTTGAGTTTTCTATTCTGCCTTACCATAATTAATTTCCTGGTGTCTTTACAGGTGTTATTTCCATATTAATGGTGATCGGAATGTTCTTATCCAACACTTGGGCTTCAAGGCACTTGCCGTCACCGCAGGTGGGGGCTCCTCCAGCCCTGGACCCTGCCACCCACCTACCGCAACACCTGGAGACTCCAGTACTTTAGCAAGACTCCAAGAAACGTTTGGATGGAAATGGAGAACACGGGTGAACTAAAAAATAATAGCCTCTCCAGAGGAGAACTAATGGATACCTCACCAGACATTATTACTGGTCACGATGGTGCCACGACTGCAGCTTCAGTGATATATCATCAGTGAGGGTCATCTGTCTGGCACTACAGAACACAGAGCGTCAGAATTTGGGGAGCAACACGAAGCTACACAGTGCCTGCTGACGTTCATAATGCACCAGATAAACTCTCAGCGACAGAACATTGGGGTTACCATCGATTCTGATGAAGGTCTACCACGTTTTGAAGACTTGGAGTTAGGCTGAGTGGATAATTTTGGTTAGGTCGTAAATCGCCTACTGAACAGCTCAACTACAATCAGCCCTCTATTGTCTTTTAGCTAAATGCAAAGCTACTGACAGATTGCTATTATCATTATGTACATATATACAGAGAAGCGCTAAACCCGTAATTCATATAGCCTCCCAGAGAAACAGGAACGGTACGCAGGTTTGATCCAATGAAGTGTAGGGTAGCTCCAGTTCCCTGAATGAAGAGCCCTTGATCGGCGTCAAAACACTTCTCTTGCAGGGAATAAGCAGATGGCACAGGACATCGTCAATATTACGTCTTAAATAACATTATTATTATTCAACTGGAAAGAAAATATCTTCTAAACACTGAATGATAACACAGGTCAGAGGAACTCGGTGACTAGTGAGGATAAGTACGCAGGTCTTGATATCTCTGCGTGTAGATAACCTATATTACAAGACCCAAATGGTTACACTATGTTTACTTTTATCAACATATTTATCATTTAAAGTAGCACTTAGTACCGTAGCCAACGAATATATAGAGTTAAAATTAAATCCTTACTAACTTCTTTACTAGTAGTACTTACATGGTAAGGCTCTTCACTACTTCAGCTAAATGAATTATATATATATATATATATATATATATATATATATATATATATATATATATATATTTTTTTTTTTTTATTATCACACCGGCCGATTCCCACCAAGGCAGGGTGGCCCGAAAAAGAAAAACTTTCACCATCATTCACTCCATCACTGTCTTGCCAGAAGGGTGCTTTACACTACAGTTTTTAAACTGCAACATTAACACCCCTCCTTCAGAGTGCAGGCACTGTACTTCCCATCTCCAGGACTCAAGTCCGGCCTGCCGGTTTCCCTGAATCCCTTCATAAATGTTACTTTGCTCACACTCCAACAGCACGTCAAGTATTAAAAACCATTTGTCTCCATTCACTCCTATCAAACACGCTCACGCATGCCTGCTGGAAGTCCAAGCCCCTCGCACACAAAACCTCCTTTACCCCCTCCCTCCAACCCTTCCTAGGCCGACCCCTACCCCGCCTTCCTTCCAACTACAGACTGATACACTCTTGAAGTCATTCTGTTTCGCTCCATTCTCTCTACATGTCCGAACCACCTCAACAACCCTTCCTCAGCCCTCTGGACAACAGTTTTGGTAATCCCGCACCTCCTCCTAACTTCCAAACTACGAATTCTCTGCATTATATTCACACCACACATTGCCCTCAGACATGACATCTCCACTGCCTCCAGCCTTCTCCTCGCTGCAACATTCATCACCCACGCTTCACACCCATATAAGAGCGTTGGTAAAACTATACTCTCATACATTCCCCTCTTTGCCTCCAAGGACAAAGTTCTTTGTCTCCACAGACTCCTAAGTGCACCACTCACTCTTTTTCCCTCATCAATTCTATGATTCACCTCATCTTTCATAGACCCATCCGCTGACACGTCCACTCCCAAATATCTGAATACGTTCACCTCCTCCATATATATATATATATATATATATATATATATATATATATATATATATATATTCTAACCACGAACGAGAGTTGTATTGAATCAATAACAACACTGCGACTAGCCGAGGATTCGAACCCATGTCGTTTTGGCCCACCCTATGGTGAGCGAAAATCACATATGACGCTCTAACCCACAGGATCACGTAATCCTACAAAAACCACGCACCCAGCGTAGCTAGGAGTTTTATCGTGACCCGAGGATATATGGTGATGTGGGTGCCTCTGAGCTAATCTCATTCTTCTCCCCGTTTAGTGTACTAGCCTCCACGAGCAGTATTTTATATTACTGTAAGCATAAACGAGTGGTGTTGAATCAGTAACAACACTGCGACTAGCCGAGGATTCGTCACATAACCTTAAATTATGAGAAACTAAAACATACATCAGGTAATGTCTGATCTTAATGATAATGTAGAAGTGAATATGTATAGCAGAGTATATATGTAATATCCAGCAGGATGAACAAATTATCCTGGTGACTCACACTTTAGTCTCTTAGACATACAAACATTGTAAATGTTAGTCCACCTAATTACACACTAAATTATATAAAATTTTAAGCCAAATATTTGTAATTTAACTTCGTTAATTGTGAACACTGTGTCCGTTTTTTTAATAAATCTTCATTTTTCACATGCGTGCATTTTTTTTTTTAATATTGAAACATTGTGAGGTACAATACATAATGAGGTATGAGTTCAGAACACATATAGAGGTAAAAAAAAATACCTAAACACACAACTCAAAAAATATCATAAAAATGATAAAAATCATAACCATAATTTTTAAAGGGGTGGACCGGTAAGTCAGATGACCAAAAGCTCCAGCTCCGGGTCGTCATATGACTTAAGACCCGCGTCAGGAACACTTGTCCAGTTTCCTGACAAATTTTACCTAACTACTCAAAAAAGAGAAGGCCAGGTGAGAGGCTATAGTAAATGTTCAAGGGATGGGATAGAGTCCAGAGAGACAAGATGGTTTAAATTAGAACAGAGAGAGCCAAGCAACAAGGATGGTAGCTTAAGTCACATGTAGCAGACATATGAGAGACGACATAAGTCACATGTAGCAGACATATGAGAGACGACATAAGTCACATGTAGCAGACATATAAGAGACGACATAAGTCACATGTAGCAGACATATAAGAGACGACATAAGTCACATGTAGCAGACATATGAGAGACGACATAAGTCACATGTAGCAGACATATAAGAGACGACATAAGTCACATGTAGCAGACATATAAGAGACGACATAAGTCACATGTAGCAGACATATAAGAGACGACATAAGTCACATGTAGCAGACATATAAGAGACGACAACATAAGTCACATGTAGCAGACATATAAGAGACGACATAAGTCACATGTAGCAGACATATAAGAGACGACATAAGTCACATGTAGCAGACATATAAGAGACAACATAAGTCACATGTAGCAGACATATAAGAGACGACATAAGTCACATGTAGCAGACATATAAGAGACAACATAAGTCACATGTAGCAGACATATAAGAGACGACATAAGTCACATGTAGCAGACATGAGAGACGACATAAGTCACATGTAGCAGACATATGAGAGACGACATAAGTCACATGTAGCAGACATATAAGAGACGACATAAGTCACATGTAGCATACATATGAGAGACGACATAAGTCACATGTAGCAGACATATAAGAGACGACATAAGTCATATGTAGCAGACATATGAGAGACGAATAAGTCACATGTAGCAGACATATAAGAGACGACATAAGTCACATGTAGCAGACATATGAGAGACGACATAAGTCACATGTAGCAGACATATAAGAGACGACATAAGTCACATGTAGCAGACATATGAGAGACGACATAAGTCACATGTAGCAGACATATAAGACAACATAAGTCACATGTAGCAGACATATAAGACAACATAAGTCACATGTAGCAGACATATAAGACAACATAAGTCACATGTAGCAGACATATAAGAGACAACATAAGTTTACATGTAGCAACATATAAGAGACAACATAAGTCACATGTAGCAGACATATAAGACAACATAAGTCACATGTAGCAGACATATAAGACAACATAAGTCACATGTAGCAGACATATAAGACAACATAAGTCACATGTAGCAGACATATAAGACAACATAAGTCACATGTAGCAGACATATAAGACAACATAAGTCACATGAAGCAGACATATAAGACAACATAAGTCACATGTAGCAGACATATAAGACAACATAAGTCACATGTAGCAGACATATAAGACAACATAAGTCACATGTAGCAGACATATAAGAGACAACATAAGTCACATGTAGCAGACATATAAGAGACAACATAAGTCACATGTAGCAGACATATAAGACAACATAAGTCACATGTAGCAGACATATAAGACAACATATGTCACATGTAGCAGACATATAAGACAACATAAGTCACATGTAGCAGACATATAAGACAACATAAGTCACATGTAGCAGACATATAAGAGACAACATAAGTCACATGTAGCAGACATATAAGACAACATAAGTCACATGTAGCAGACATATAAGAGACAACATAAGTCACATGTAGCAGACATATAAGACAACATATGTCACATGTAGCAGACATATATACATGTATCTCATAGAAACAAAACTTTTGGGAATCGTAAATAATTGATTTTTAGTACTGGAGTATCAAATGATAAGGAAGAGAGAAAAAAACGTTGAGGAGGAGAAGGAAGAGTAAGACTTGTGAAACTGAGACCAATACAACAATGAGGATATATTTAAAAATTTCACTGAGTTCTGTAGCTACGATAGCTGTAAAGGTTTCCATTCAGCTATACCGAAGTTATTTTTTTTTTTATATCAGAACTACCATCTCTGAAGATGGCCGATTTCCCAAACTGAAAAAAAAAATGGGAGGATGAAGTGGGGGAAGAGGGAGGAAGGTGAAAAAAAACAGTGTGTAATTTATAATAAATTGGAGCAGTGACCCCAAAGAGAATAAATATTACCTAACTGATTATGTAAAAAAAATATGGTGAATTATCAGCACTTCTACCTTAACTCTGCATAAGACAGTGGTATATGATATTGTACCTTCTGTAGGGAGATGACTTTGACTTCTCGTTATCATTTATGCGCAGTTATACAAACATTATCACAGACTTAATTGTAGAGAACGAAACATACTACGTACTTATGTTAATAAAACACAACTGAAATGGGTTCAAGAACCCCCACAATATACCGTTTGTGGTATTTTATTGAGAATAAAATGTCTCTTAAACAACATAGTGTCATGTTAACATATTTGTTGGTATGTAATATCATATGCAAAACAACCACAGGGGGAGTTGAATGATAGCTCTAGGCCTATCGTGTTGCAATCAACACATCTTCAGGAGCTTGCAATGTTGCAGAAATGAGTAGGAAGTCCAGGTAGATTCGTTCAAGGAAACGACCCTAGCTAGAGCCTACCTGAACATCATTAGCTGCCTGACTGCGGTGGAGTGCGGTTGTGCATAGCACCCCTCTGCTGTTTTGTCAGGAGAGCTCTCATAGCAACAATATGGCGCTGAGTATCCGACGTAGGGTGAACACTGTCGGCGTGGAGCTGCTTCGTGGGGCGATTTCCCCCTCTACGGCGCAGGTGTTACTTCCGGCAATCATCAGGGAAACGTACGGAGTGCAGGATGATGAGGTTTATGGTGTGGCCCTGAATGGGGCCTATCGTCTATTCGTCAAGTTGAATTCGACGGCTGTGTACGAGTCGTTAGTGACGAAATTTGAGCATGTGAGTATTGATGTAACTCCAGCTGTCAAAGTGCGACTCATAGACGTTTCTCGCCACTATACGTGGTGAAGTTGCGCAATGTCCCCTTCGAGGCTGACGAGGAGGACTTACGGAAGGTGTTTGCAGCTTATGGTACCGTGCATCTGGCAACCCAAGGCAAGTGGGCGGCAGGTGCGTACGTGGGACGTCCGGAGGGTACATTCTCCCTCAAAATGACACTGAGGCACCCGATCCCGTCATATGTCGTGATGCCGGAGTTTAGGACCCAAATTCTAGTGGCGTATGCTGGGCAGCGACGGACATGCAGGTTGTGTGGAGAGTATGACCATATGGCGGCGACGTGTGGGAGGCAGTGGAGGGCGCCGGCGCAAACAGGTGGTGCACCAGTTACAGGTGTGGATGTCGTAGAGGAGCATTCCAAAGGAAACCGAGGAGATGGCCGTCTGTGGAGTGAAATTGTGGAAGAGTCTCTTGTGGTGCATGTTGAGCGGGGCACGAGTTGTGTGGAGCCGAAAATGGCCACTTTGCCGGTGACGGGGGAGGAAGTGCTCATTCAGCAGGAGGTGCAAGAGCTGGAGGAGGAGCTCGACGAGGTATTGAAAACTTTACCTTCTTCGGGCGAGGATAATGGCTTGGTCCGTGAAATGGTGCCTGAGTTGACAGGAGAGTGTGGCGGGACAGGCACGGGAAGGAAGGAGGACAACTGCAGGCACAGAGAGGAGTCACCAAGCTCTGTGCGACAGGTCACAGTAGAGGTTGATGTTCACTGTGAGGAATCTTCGGTAGACAGTATGGCGGTAGAGAGTGTTACGAGGAAGAGGGCGGCTGCGTCAGACTCAGATGATGTCCTGACGCCCGCGCAGAGGTCTGGGAGGAAGGATGTATATTCTCGTGACAGCCAGGATAAGAGGCATCGAAGAGGGATGGGGGGTGGATGGTGACAAACCACATGTTGACCCTGGGGCAAGAGGCCCTGGGAAGGGTGAGAGGAGAAAGGGTTGGAAGCTTTAGAAAGGCCTTAAGTGCATGACTGTGAATGTGAATGGACTGTGTACTGGTGTGAAGAGGGAATGCTTTCGTATGCTCTTACGTCGATACAGAGTGGACGTAGTCTTTCTACAGGAGCATAATTTCAGGGAGGGTAGAGTGCTCGAGGTGGACGGGTATACGGTGTTGACTCTGCCATCGGCACGTTTGAAAGGTGGTGTGGGTTTATTGATAAAGGAGGCGAGCCCGTTTGTGTTGCAAAGACGTGAAGGGGGTGGGGGGGGGGAGGGTGTTGCGTGTAGATGGGTGGTGGATGGGGCAGAGGGTAACCTTTGTAAGTGTGTATGCACCAGCTGAAAATGATATGAAAGTCAAGAGGGATTTTGTGTGTGATGATCTAGTTTTTGCTTTCCGTGGTTTACCTGAAGTGGCCATCGTAGGTGGGGACTGGAATTTTTTTTTTTATATTTTATTTAAAACATTGCACAATTACAAGGAGGATAAAAATATAATAAAATGAACCTATCTGTTTATGAACAAAAAAACCAAAGTATCCAGCCCCAATACAAAAAATAAACACCAACAAAATCAGTATACCCCCAAAAATACAACTCGCAACATATCATTAAAAATTTCCGGATTATACAAAATATTACTTTTGCCTTTGCTGAACAGCTGACTTTTCCCCCCCCCCCACAACTTAAAATTATACCCACTTTTCCCAATTGAAAAAAAATATTAATTAAATTTTTAAATTTCTGAAATATCCTAAACTCGTCGTAACTTTTTACTTAAGTATTTACAAACTTGGGTGGTACATGAACACCAAAATCAA